ATGAAAAGGAAAAATAAGAACGCATCCTGACCACGTCGTCTGTGTCCTTGCGGTCTGACCGGCTTCACATCGTCTTCTTCGATTCTGGTCACAGTCGACGCCGGCGAGCCCACCTTCGCCACAGCAAACTACAGCGAGTCCTATCCACCAGAACATGCATAGTCTTCTTTTGTTTTCAACCCAAGTACCCAATGTTCGTAAGTCTTATTTTCGACTTCAACCGATTCCTTCTGCATTTTAATTTTCGACTTCAACCCTTTCCATCGGCTACAGCTTACGCCGGCAACTCAGTCTTCGGCCACAACAGACAGTTCTATTTCTTGATTGCGGTTCCCTAAAGCTTAAATACGATTAGTTTTTTGAAATTTTGTTTTCGATTTCAGATTAAGGTATACCCATTTGATATTAAATTGCAAGATCCACGGTTCTTGTTGGAATTTCAATTCACCAGACATGAATCAAAATTGTTTGTTGAAACTTCAAACCAATGTTTTTATTTTCTATTTTCCGATTAATACAAGCAGATGAATAAGATGGTCTTGTTGTTGAATATAAATTGATGGTGTGGTTATGTTTTTTAATTTGTGTATCAATCCATTGTTTCTAGTTTCTTAATTTGTTTATGAAACCACGAGCCACATTTTCTACCTAATGGACATTGTTGTTGTTAACGAAGAACTTGCAAACAACCCCTCTTCAGCATCTTTGATAGCTTGAAGAAGCTCTGCATGAACCTAATTAACAAAATAATAACAATTATCTTAATATCATCATAACTAACTGGACTTAGATGTGTATTGTTTTTGGCTTTTTGCTTTTAGATTGGTGATTCAAGTTGTAATGTGAGCTGTCACAACCTCTAATTCATAAGTTGTGAGCTCTTATGTTTATAGCAATACTGATTCCATTACCAATTTATAACATTCATTGACCTCAAAAACTTAAGTTAAACAATTCAACAAAAACACACACTAAAAAGAACAGACATAATAGTGTGTATAAAAAAATTTATAAACATTATCGGTAAATGTTTAAAATAGTCAAAAAAAATTATATTGAAAAGCCAGTAAAAATATTAAGAAAACTGAAGGTTTAATTTTTTTTTTTTGAAAAATTATACCTCATTGGTAAATATTTTTAAAACTATACCTATATGGTAAATAAAATTTTCAAAAACACCATTTTGGTTAAAAACTCCCTTCTGATTCTAAATATGACAACAACCAACACATTGATGGCTCTGGTAGCCAAATTTGAGATATAGGTCGTCGACCAGATGGTTGCCCTCCTGATTCAAAAAACAAGCCAAGACCAACCATCATCATAACTGGGGAGAACGAAATACCCTCCGGGCATACATCCTTGAAATAAACAATGGATGTGAATATTCATAGAACATGTCACACCCCAAAACCGGAACGGCGGAATCGTTCAGGGGTGGAGGACGTCATGTTTAGTATCACGAGATATGTATATAGTAAGCAAGTAATGAACAACCATTTCATTTCAAAAGAAAGTGTTTTGAAGCTATAATGCTTCATCTTCTGAATCCCCAACACGAGCACCTGTCTAATAGTCTCCTGAGAATACAAGTTATTTGAAAGAGTTGATCAGCAATTAAGCTGGTGAGTTCATAAGGTTTTAGTGATGTAAGTAAGCTGTAAAATGTTGTTGAAAATGTATATGTAAAAGTGGTGTAGGTTGTAAGTTCTGTATGGTATTGACTCTTTGTGTGCTTCATTGTACTAGAAGTAATGAATAGCATTCTCCTAAACTATACCTATTATAACTTACTAATGTTCTACTTGGACTGTTACTGGAAAGACTCGTTTATCTACTAAGTTATGTTTGTACTTTAAAAACAAAGTTTTGTATAACTATAAAACAACATAACTTTTAAAAGAGTTTTTGAAATGTTTTGACAACTTATAAATAACGTAAGTAATCATTTTGAA